TAGGTTGCAATGTACTCTTTATGGTTTTCTAAATATAAGATTGTGTGATCCACAAACAGCAGCTTTTTACTGTTTTTCAATTTCAATGGCTTCTTTTATTTCTTTGACTTGTTCTTCTGCCATATATTTCCAGTGCTAGAATAAAATAGAAGCATTGACAATGGGCACAGTATAGTTTTGTATTGGTGTCTGAATTTGATGGAGCAAACACTTCTTCATGTTTTCATAAACTGATTTTAGAAGGTAAAGATCTTCTTTTGTTGGGTCCTTAGGGTGATGAGATGCCCTCTGAATTTGTAGTGAAGAGGGATTGTAGCTTGGTCACAAGGCTGCTGGATCTCCACTAGGGTCCACCTTTAGTTGGCTTGTTACAGGGGCTTGGGTGGTTGTAATTCCCATTTTATTTTTGGACAGACTGAATATCCTTCAGGACTTTGCTCCGTAGGGCAGACATTAGGGCAGGTTTTTGCAGTGGGTTCTGAATATAGTGGGCTTTATATCAGGAAGCGGACGAGTATGGCTTTCACTGAGTATCAGCATTTTCTCAGGTAACTGTGTGGATTCTCTATAGGCAGAACTGACCATAAACTATGGCTCAGGTAACTGAAACTGAGTCATTGAGCCACTTCAGAAACAGTAAAGGTCAATGTCTGCAGGTCTGCCTTTGTGGCTGTAAATGGGTGCCTTCCTCCAGGTCTCTGGAATGGCAGGACTTCTCCCAGACTGTGGCTGGGAGGAGTTTGGGATAGTTACAGAGTAAGTTCACAATCCTTAGTGGGACCAAGTTGGGTGAACCCTATCCTGGTCTGTAGCCAAGAACAGGGACCCTGCACTTTCCCATCTCAATGAGGGCCTGCCTTCTGAATAGAACACTTCTCAATCTTCAGCTTTAACAGCATTTCACAACTCCCTCCATGGATCTCAAATCTCTCTTACGGGCACTTATTTTGGAGATGGGCTCTGGCTACATAACCCAACTGGTCTCGAAATCCTGGCCTGAAGCAGTTCTCCAACCTTAATGTACCATGTAACTGTCATTACAGGTGTGAGCCATAATGCCTGGTTCTCTCATAAAGGCATTTTTGTCAGGGTTGGGTTACATTATTTTGCTGTAAGAGGATATGAATGTAGGGGACTTTTAATCTTTTCATCTTACTGATGTCACTCTCTATACATTTTTAATTTCTGTTTTCTATTTCAAATTTGTCTGTAATTTTAGATTCAGATATTTAGGACAATATGCTGGAATTTGCGTGGTATGCCTAAAG